TCACCCCCCAAGGACCACCGTGAGGAGCTGAGCCCGTCTCCGCAGCGGCACCGTGCGCGGGGCAGGGCCGGGCACTCACCGTCGTGGCGGCTGACTCGGAGATGGTGCGGTAGTTGTACTCCTGGAAGTAGATGTTCAACTTGATGATCCCGTTCCTGTAGGGGACAAGCAGCAGCTCAGGGCAGAGCCAGTCTGTGGGCATCCCTCTGCTCCAGCAGGAAGGGCTGCACAGAGCCTGGCTGAGCCACCCATGAGCATCCGCCGGGACTCCTGTCTGGCACGTGGAGAAGTTAAAAGTGCTGCTGGCAGGTCCTGAGATTCCTCCTGGGAGCTTCTCTGGGGCTGTTTGCCCTGTTTCTCCCAGCTGCCCTGGCTGGTCAGAGGGGCCATCACCCCTCAGTGCCCTGCTCCTCGTGTTCCCGGGTGCATGAACGGAGTGGCTGCATCATGACCAACCACAGTGAAGAGGCTTAACATGTACAGGTGAGCCAGCACCAGTGAGACCATTCCCTGCTTCCCTGCTTTGGTGGTTTTCCATGGGGAAAAAACTTCCTTTTTTCCTTGGGATTAGGTTTGCAAAGGGTAACTCAGCAGTTCCCCCCATCGTGGTGCATCCCCCCTACTGCTGCTGCTGGCAGATTCAGAGATGACGGGACATCACGGTGCAGGAGCTGCCCTGGCAGCTCACAGCTCCCCATGTGCTGCTGGTGGTGCTGGTTCTAACTTACTGGCACGTTTGTCTGACCCCGTTTGTCCCTGTGGAGAGCAGAGCTTACGCACAAACCGTGTTTCAGACTCGCTGTATGTATCTTCCAGGCAAACACGCGCCAGATCTTGTCCTCCCTTTGCATTGGTGTGCTCTGGCCCATCGCCAAGGCTCGCGCTAATCTAATGTTAACAGCCTCAATAGAGGAGATAAAGTGGTTGTTCCTTTCACTCACCTGTCCAGAGTCACGTTTGTTGACATATCCCTTTCATAAGACAGAATATGGAAAATCCAGTCCTAGGGAAACAGAATGTGTTCAGAACCGAGCAAAAGCATCCTCTGGGCCCCTGCTGGGGCAGGACCCTGAGCCTGGGGCAGGAGGCAGCAGCCCTCCACCCATACAGAGCCCCTGCGTTTGGCAGTGTGTGGGTGCCTTTGTCGTGGCTGTGTTCCTGCTCGGGGAGCAGGGTCCTGCTGGGGGAGGAACAAGGGCCCCGCTGGCTGCAGCTTCCCCGGTTCAAGGTTAAGGGTTATTGTTATGAAGATGAAGGTTTTTCTATAGGGGATGCGTGCAAAGTCCTCAGCAGCCACCTTCTAGGGTAAATCAGAGGCCAGCGCAGGCAGCTGGAAGGTGGGTCCCTGCTTCGGGCTGTCACCAGCACCAGGGCAGGAGGAGCTGCTGTGGGGATGTCGTCCCCCCCATCCCGTGGTCCTGCTGCTTGTTTGCATCCTGGAGATGTGTAATTTGGCAAAGAGGCGTTTGCTACCTGGGCATTAGCCTGGGAACGCCGAGTGATTCAGGGGGTAATGATCAGTTTACAGCAGGAGGAGCCGGTGTTACCTCGGAGGCTTCGGACGGCCAGTCTGCCATGGAGATGGTCATCTTGTACTGCGTGTCGCTGCGGCAGCGAGGGATGGAGCGTTAGTGGGAGGTTTCCCTGCCCCAAGTCACTGGTGCTGCAGTGGGAAGGTCGCTGGGGACAGCGCAGGATCCCCTCCACCTCCCCTGATGCCCCAAGTGGCCCAGGTACTTACTTGCATGTTTCCTTACAAGAGTCGATACAGATCTGTCTGTGCCTTATACTTGACCTCAGTGATGAGTAGCAGTATGCTGTTGGGTGAAGACAAAACATCAAAGCATCTGTTTAGATGAGGACCCACTTGTTGGATTATATCAATGTCATTTAGTAGGTACTTAGGTCTGAGCCTGCCACACAGGTTTGCTGCTTCCCCTCTGACCTTCCTTCCCTTGGGAAACTGGAGCAAAAAGGTCGTCCCTTCTCCCAGCACTGACCCCAATGGCCACAGTGAGACTTTACATGGGCAAAAGCCACTGAGCTGTTGCATTTAGTGTAGCAGTAAAGCTCCCATCCTTTCCTGCCCTTCCTGCACACTCAAACCCCATGGAAGTCTGTGCAGTAAGTTCTGTTCATGCTCTTACCCCAGCCTGGGTAATCTTCGTTGTTGCAGTAATTTACCCCTTGAGGTAAAGGAAACATATAGTGACCACATCCACAGATCTCAATCATGTCATTCTGGAAGCAGGAGCGCAGGCAAGCCTGGAGAAGGGAACAGGGAGCTGCTTAGACGTGGGCTGGAGCCCCCTGCCTGCCTCTGCGCTGCTGGGGTCTGCGCTGCCTCTGCGCATCCCTCCACCCTGAGGGGTTCTCTCTCTATTGCGTGGAACAGATGATGCTGTGGCTGCAGACGGAGGCTAAAGCCGCAGAGGGGGTGGGTGCTGCTGGTGCCCACCCTGTGCAAATGCCTCCTCCAGCTTTACCACGGGGAGAGGAGGCTGTGGACGAGCTGCCCTGTGCAGGGTTATGCTGCAGTTATGTTTATGATTCATTTTTACTGCTGCTTCTGGAGATCTGAAGGCACATCCCAGTGTGAGCTGCCCGTGGGTCAATCACCTCCCTGGAGCCTGCTCCAGTCACGCAGAAACTGCTCGTTTCTCACCTATTTTGGGGCTCCATGGAAGTCACATGGAGTTTCCAAAAGGAATACAAATGTTCTGTCACACCCACAGATGCTGCCGTTGTCCCCAGGTCTATGTGACAAACTGCCAAAGGGCTGGAGTCCACTTTAGAGCCAGGACTCTAAAAATACTTCAGCATAAAGAGCAGGTTTTGGACATGTGAATTATCTTATCTGTGCATCTGCTGCTCTCCTTGAAGGGACTGTGAGCCAGGCAGCAGCGCTGCCGTTAGCTCAGCCAGGCGTGAAGTTAATCAGCTGAGATTGGAGGGGGACTCTGCATGAAACAGTGCACAAAGCAATAACAACTCTATGAGAAGATAATGAAATCTAACAGCCCCAGCCAGGTAGAACAGCCAGAGAGCTTCAGTGTGACAAGAAATGCTTCTAGAGCACAGCGCAAACAGGGAGCGATGGAAAAACCTGAGAGGTCTCTGGGGTGACATGGAGTGTGCAGGCACAGAACCCCCGCTGGCATTTAGCAGCTTTGGAGTTGTAATGCAATCCTCTCAAGTATTTGCTTAAACGTTATACAAGCATCTCGAAAAGGGGGTAAAGTGGTCCAAATGTGAGTTATATAAAGGCAGGAATACACCCCCCACCCCGCTAGAGCAGAGCCCCCACTCCGGGGCGCATTGTTCTGGTGTTTGCACATAATCCCCAGATGGGTTTGATGTTTTCCTTGGTGCCGGATCTCACCCCCAGAACCGCTTCCCCTGATGTGAATTTATGTTATAAATTAACCAGCACCGATTGCTTACACTGTTTTTCTACAGACTGAAGGTTTACAAACACTGAACTTTCTCAGGCCAGTTTTTAACTGAAGAAAAGGCAAAGGTCTGTCTTCATTTCCTATACAAGACCAGTGGGCATTCTCAGGGGGGAAAATGACTCGATTCCCTTAAAGAGGAAAGGATTAAGAAGAGTAGGAGCGTGGAGGAGAGGAATCCCTCCTGTACATCCCTCTCCTGTCAGGGATAAGCATTACTTGGCGTACACAAAATAGAGCTGCTTTGCACATCAGAGCAATGCCATGGCTGAACCCCAGAGCTTGGTACTTCCCATGTGATGGAGCAGCAGGAGCCAGCTGAGCTGGCCAAGTGTCCCATCAATGTCTTGCAAACTTTCCTGGAGCTGCAGCCACCGCTCATGCTGTAGATGGAGCAACCACACAGCTCAAACTCCTGGAGTTTGGAGGAGTTGTCCTGGAGGACTTGGCTGCTCGGGAGCAAAAGGGGGAACACTGAAGAACCATCAGGGCTTATGGGAGCAGGGGCCTGGGTGCAGCCTGCTCTGGCTTTGCCTGGTTGGGAGCCCTCCCCTGCAGGAGGCTGAGCTCCAAGGTGGCAGGGTAGGAGGAAAGGACCAGCACTAAACCGTGCTCAGAGCTGGAGTGCAGATTTATTGCCAGAAAAGAAGGTTCCTGTGTTTAGTTTGTGCTGATGCCCAGGAGCCCTGTGTGCCAGTCAGGGACCTTAACTGCTTGCGTGATTTTTCCTACCCAGTTTTGTTCACTTCAAGAGCGTGGGGTTACCTGTATGGAGTAGGAGGTGTTGTACTGGCTATAGAGATTTTTCACAGGGACATCAGACCCGTTCATGGTGCAGTCGCTGTAGGGATAACCCATCCGTTCCAGTTCGTCCTGAAAGAAAACCAAGCCAGCCAACGTGAGCAGCTGTCGCTCCTCCTGGGTCCCTGGTCCTGTTTTCTAGGGACTCTGTCATTCCCACATTTCCTGCTGGCTTCAGGAAAAATCAGAGTCATGGGCAGCAGAGCTGAAGGAGACGCAGCCGTTCCCCAGGGCGGATTGAGGAAGATGAGGGTGTTCAGAGCAGCATGTTTTAGCAAGGCACCTTCAGACACTAAAGGAAGAGCCAACAATGACCTGAGCTCACTATTTTGGCTTCAATAAAGCACTTTGCCAGGACAGTTACATAAAAGTCTCCATAAACTGTTCCAGCCCACAGCTAGTGTATACTGTGACTCTTTTGGTTTGAGCCAGTTCAGCCAAGACTTAAAACAAACTTGGTTGCAGTCCCATCAGATAACATTATTCTCAGACAATCTGCTCAGGAGGAATGCCACACATACCACCAGCACCCCGATGGAGGTTTCTGTCCCAGCCATTGCATAGATGCCCTGATCCTTCAGGAAGGGGAAGCTCTTCTGTTGGTGCAGCATGAGCCTGGCCCCGGCGGCGGATGACAGGTAAGGGATGTAGTCCTGCTGGCTGATGTCCAGGATTAACTTCAGCCCTGGGACACCAGACAAAACACTCAGGAATTGTATAGAAACACAAGTCTTCAGAAGAAACCAAAGTCTCTTTTCCTCTCACTCTGCACAGAGATGTCAGTTCCTTGGGGAAGGGCTGGGTCTGGCTGTCACAGCAGCCTCACATGTGCCTAAATTCACATGATGGAGAGTGCTCTGAGTGGAAATACCTGAGTGAGTGTTCAGACACTGCCTCAGACAGCTCCGCTATCCAGATGTTGCACTTCTGCTACATGTAACATCTGTGCTCACAGCACTTGGCTCTATGTGGCACGTTTCCCTCTGGGGGCTCTTCCCCTTCTGGAAAGCTGTCACTGCCTGTGCAGTGCTCCAGAGGCACGGAAATCACAGACCTGCTCTACAGCAGCAGCCGCCACCGTGGCTCACTCGCTCTTACCGAATTCGGCTCCTGGGTTGGAGGAATTCAGAGCCTCTTCGTCCATGCCCCAGTTGAAGATGTAGCAGTTACCGTGGTCGGGGTGATAGATCTGGGTGAAATTCCTGGAAGAATCATGCACATAAACCTGTGACTCTCAGGGAGGACTCGGGGGTTATGGACCGAACCGCGCGGTGGGAGCAGCGCGTTGCAGCCGCCCCTGGGATCGCTCCAAATCGCTTTGTTTGTTGGATGCCTGTACGGAAATTTCAGCTGATACAAATTCAATCAATCTGCTGCTGGAGAGGAGAGCAAAGCCAAGCACACACGTGCTGAGAGCCAGCCACTGGGGATGCACTTTGTGGGAATGGAAAGGAACAGCCTGTCACACCGATGAGAGGAATAATTGCTTGATCTGAGCTGTGGTAACAGGTTTTGGCTGGTGTTAGATCTCATTTGTTGACAGTAATTCTCTGTTCTCCCTGCAGCAGTGGAGGCTCCTGCAGCTGGGGGGGCTCACAGCCAGGTGAGAAATGGGGATGGCTGAAATGTGTCTCCGAGCCTTGTGTAGAGAGAGCAGGGGCTGTACCAGGGGTGCACAGATGCGCTGACCCAGCGCCTGGGCTGGCAGCTGCTGATCACCCTGGCAGATCCCTCGGATGCCGATAGTCTCAATATGTCATGGGCAAAATGGCCCATCCAGAACTGAAACTCAAGCCAGCGCTATCCCAAATGACCTGTTTCTGCCAGGATCACATCCAGAAACCCTCTGAGAAATGGTGTTAGAGTTAAGGACCAGCAGAAATCTCTATTAACTGACACATGCCTTAAAAAGAGAAAAGCAAAAGGCTGTCATGCCTTTAGCATCCTGTCCCATTCCTGGTGTGACAGGGAAAGGCCCGGAGTTCGGCATGCACCTACTTGTAGTTGCAGGGTTCAGCACCATAGAGACAGGCCAGGATCATGTCCTCTGCCTGGTAGCCCATCCTGATTCTCTCCTGCAGGGGCACTTTGGAGAGGATGCTGGTGGACTGCAGGATGTACCACTCGGTCACCGCCTGCGCCGCGCTGGTGAAGTTCCTGTACGTGCAGTTGTCGGAGCCCGGGTGGCTGCACTGGGGGGGAACAACAGACAGGTCTGAGGCACCCGCAGCAGGGACCTGCAGCGTGTCCCACCATTGGCCTGGTGCCAGCCCTGCTGCTGCTCTGGGAGATGAGGGCCATGGCCAGACTGCGCTGGGTGCCTGGATGTGTCCCGCAGGGCATCCGAACCCCTCTGAAACTAAAACTTGCTAAAATACCAGCACCACCTTCCTCAGGCAGCTCTGCAGCACTGAAACAACACACCAGGATGTGCAAACTGCCCATGGGCTCCATGTGCCGGGTACTGGCACAGCTGGACCAGAGCCCAAGGCAGCGTGGACATGGGCAGCCAGGGGGAGAGACACCGATCCCCATGGCACATCCCTTCTGAGGCACCCAGTGCTGCCCGTCCCTCACCCTCCCTGGCTGCCTCCTTGGGACCCCTCTCACCAGCTTCACCGCCAGCTTGTACTTCTTTTCTTCTGTCGTGGTGTTGGCCGGGGTCGGTGCAGTGGCAGTGTGGTTGACTGCAGTGTGGTTGACTGCAGTGTGGTTGACTGCAGTGTGGTTGTCCACAAAGCTTTCGTTGTCCGCAGAGGTTGGCATGTCCACAAAGCTTTCATTGTCTGCAGGGGTTGGGGTGTCTGTAGGGGTCTGGATGCCCCCAGCGGTCTGGTTGGTCTCAAAGATGTCCAGGATGACGGGGTTGTCTTTGTCGTGCTCGTCGATGAGGACCAGGGGGATCTGGTACCAGAGCTCCAGGTCGAGCGGCGCGGAGGTGTTCTCGCTGCTGTTGCCCGGTGTAGGCTGCAGGATCCTCTCCAGCGCCGCATCGATGAGCCGGTCCAGTTCTTTCAGCAGAGGCTTCACCTCCGAGTATCTGCAGGACAGAGCAGTCACAGGCACTGAGAGGGCAGTGGGGATGTGCAGTAGCTCATGTGCTGCACCACTGGCTGAGGCCTCCCTGGGGACCCCAGATCACTGCCTAAAGATTTACTGGAGAGCAGCAGGAGCCTCCGTGCTGAGCACGGGCAGCTCCACACGGGCATCGCTGCAACCAGGTGGGAAACCAGCCGGAGGATGAACAGAGCTCGCAGTGGTGAACCTGCCAGTGCAGACCTGAAGTGGGTGAGTTTACACATAACACCTCCAGCGAGCAAGAGAGAAAACAACCCCAAAGCAATTCCTGCATGTTGGTTGAGCGTATCTTGCCTTGGGCTACACTACTGGGTGGGTGTCGTTTTAAAGCAGCTGTAACAGAAATCAGTTACTCCTTTGAAATGCCACTCGAGTTGTGTCGCTGCAGCTCCCAGCAGATAACTGCTGTTTAACCAGTTCTTCATGGCTGGGGGGCCAGCCGTAAGTGGTACGTTCACAGTGAGGAAGGAGGAAGAACAGAGCTGTAGGGCAGAAAAGAGGCTGACTTTGGTAGTGACAAGTGAGTTGAACTTTTCCCTGAGCCAGGGAAGTTTTCAAGGAGTCAACAACTACCATTAAATGAACTGATACGGTGAGGAAAGGCAGGAGAACTGCAGGCACACGAACCCTCTGCACCTGATCATCTGCTGTCACACTGTTCTCCTTTACTTAGCTTTCAGTGCCACTTGGTAAGTCCATTGATGCTCCTAGTGTGGTATCTAAGCCAGGAACAGCCCCACAGTAACTGACACCAGCAGTACCTTACACCAGCAGTACAACTGCTTGTGTTAAAGCACGACTGGGTGAATTAGGCAGTAAAAGACTTACTTGTAAGGGTTGGCATTGCAGACTGTGACTGCAGGGAACTTCATGGTCTTAAAGCCAATAGAGAGAGACGAAGTGACGTTGTAGGAGAGGTAAGTGTTGATGAGGATTCCCCACTGCCAGAAGACCAGAGACGCAAAGAGCAAAGTTAGGAAGAACCAGATGAGTTTCTTCTTCGGCCCCTCTTTGATGATGCGCTTGGGGCCGTGTGTGTTGGTGTTGTCGCAGTACCAGACCAGCAGCTCCTTGTAGGTGTAGCCGGGGCCCTTCTGCAGGCGGTGCAGCGCCCGGATGAAGTACTTCTTCAGGTTCATGCTGTGGTCTGCAAGGGGAGAACAGACCAACAGACATCAGAACGATGGTGAGACGCGGGGTTGGTACCGTGCTGAATGCTCTGGGATTGTCAGCAAAGCAGAAGGGGAAGATACGTGATGGCAGATCTGTGGGTTTATAACCCAGGAGATATTCAGAGCAGACGTTCTGCAGGGTCACAGCGTGGCAGTGATCAGCCCCTCACCTCCTGAGGGGGTGCAAGGGGCAGGTTTGTGCTTTGCAGTTCCGAAAGCGGCCAATGTTTTTGTCCTTCCAGCCCCACGAGGGTTAAGTGACTTGGACCTGCCGAACGTGTGTCACCAGCGACTTACCCAGTACCAGCCCCGGGCCCTGCAGATGTTGCAATACCCAACCAGGTCACTTTTTAGGAAGCTGGCACTTTGTGTGCAAACTGCTCTGTCTGTAACATCACCCAAAACCTTTGCCAACCCTAGATGGACCAAGCAGCACACGCAGGAGCTGGTTTAAGGTGGAACTCAGGCAAAACAGCATTCAGTATTCAAGCTAATACGGGCCTTGGGACAATTTTTCTTAACAGTAATAAAGATCAGAGAGCACCAGGCCATCGGAGGGGGCAGGAGATGGGGCCCTGGTACCAGCAGCGCCTTTCCCAGCACCAGGAATGCTGCTCAGTGCTGCTGCCCACCAGCGGAAGGACAACGGATCGTTTTTTTCCACCAAATTCCTTTGTGTTTCAGATACTATCGGTATGTTCCAGTGCTCGTGTGAGGATGCTGCATAGTTCACATTCACACTGCGAGTAAATAGAACATTTTGTGCTGCTGTTTTAAGGTGAGAATTTGCGTTACTACATCTCACTATCCCGAGGCGTGATTTCAAAACAACCCCAGTCAGCTGCTGAGGGCGTTCTTCAAACTGGAGAACAGAATTACAGATTAAGGCTGTGTATAACTCAGCATCCCAGAAGAGAGAGGGCTGAAATAACACAGCACCATTTCGCTAATGAGCAGTACCCGCAACGCAGAGGCTGGATTAGCAAAGGTCCCAGAGGAAGCTGACTGGTGCTCACAGACCTTTGGGTCCTTCTGGCTTTTCCAGAAAAAAATGAAAAAGGGATACTGATCCGTTGATTTATTGCCCAAATCAGCAAAATCTCCTGAGTAGTATATGCAGAGCTTGAGAAAAGTGTAAACCCAATAGATTTTGTGGTGCCTCCCTCCATGATGCAAAGGGAGAGGGTGATTTTCATTGCACACCTTATTACATGTGTGTTGGATGCAGCCTAACACCCTGAGGTCCTGACGAGTGCTTCGGAAAGAAGAAACTCCAGCTGCTTCCTCTGAGATTTAAGGGGAGGTTCTACTCGTGTGAAAGTGTTTTGTTCCCCAAGGAACACATGTCCTGGGACTTGGGACCTTTTAGGTGTGTTTTAACTGATCCAGAATGTTTCTTCCCTGATGTCAAAGCTACAGAAACTGTTCTTTGCAAGTGCTGCTCCATCCTGTGGCCTTGCAGGCACCGGCCAGAGGGAGCACAGGCACGGGATGGGGATAGGAATAGGGGTGGGGATGGGGTCGGCTGGATGCCTGCAGCATCCCTGCCCCACCATGAAAACACATGGATCCCCAAATTAAAAATCCAGGTTAGTGAAGGTGTTCTGGCAATACAGCAACCAGCCCGTCGCAGGCTTTGAAGGACTCAGGTTTGCTCTTCCTGTAGGTGTAAGCTCTGCTTTTAAACCAGTCATTTGGTGAAAGGGATGGCATTAAGCAGGGGCTGTGCTTGACCGCATGTGGGCGATCAGTTTTCACTCTTTTTTCTCACTTTCATAATTTTCTTCCTACCTTTATTTCCAGGATGTTTCCAGACTTCTCGTTCCTTTCTCCCTGCTGAAAGCCCCCCTCCGTGAGGTGCCTTGTCTGATGGGAAGCCAAAGCCCCTCTTATGGGGGTTCCTCACCCTGGGAACGGAGGCTCAGTGCTGGGATGCTGCAGCTGCTTGGTGAGGGATTGGTGCTGGTTTTGGTGCCCACCTGGTCCTGCTCTCCCACATCAGTGTACCTGGAGCAGAGAAGAGACAAGTGAGGGATGACGAAAGCCCCCTCTCCATCAGTGCACAGGTAACCATCACCCCTTCCCAAACCCCCCCTGGAGAAGGGAGCGGAGGCTGCGATGGGACAGGAGCCAAAAGGAGATCAGGGATGTGGCACATGGGGATGTCCTGTGGTTACAAACTCTGTCCCTGCTGCTGGCCCCAAACCCCTCGTTCCCTGCACAATGTGTGATGCTCATGGGCCTGGATGCTTGAGTTTGTTTCTTGTCTGGCTGCTGTACTTCCAAAGCCGCCTCAGGGAAGGGGAACAGGCACCCACCGGCCTCCCCCACTCCTCCTCCTCTGCATTTCTCGTTGTCACACTGTCACCATGTCACCTCCAACACACCAATGTCAGGAGCTGAGCCTGGGCCTGAGACCCCCACAGTGCCGGGTCCCTGTCCTGGCAGCACCCACAGCCCCGTGGTGACTGCAGCCGTCCTAAAGGAGCTCCTGGCTCTAGCGTGGTTTGCTCTGTGCTGTGAAAGAGATGTCCTCACCTTGCCCAGCAGCCGCGAGTCTGGCCCTGCATCAGCCCAGCATTATCCCAGGTGAAACTCCTCCACCTTACGGGTGAGATCAGACTCCCACGTTACGAAATGGTCGTGTTGACTGTGCTGAACCTCCTCTGGGCTCTTCCTGCAGCAATTGACACTTAAAAGAAACAAAGACATAAGCAAAACTCAGGGAAGCTCCAGGGTGGTACCTTGGCTGCAAAACCGCTCCAACACTGCCAGCCCTGATCCTGCCATTATTCAGTACTTTCTCCCCTGGGACACCCAGCAACAGCTCCTCTTGGATCACCAACTGCTCCTCTGCCCTCCAGAGCCTGATGAAAAAACCTTGTTTTCACAGAGAAGACATTTATCCCACCTAGTGGCATTTTTGCAAATTAGAGGAAATCTGTTTCATTACAGCACAAGTTTGCAGGTTGAGAGAGAGAAGTGGAGCAGTAACTTGTCAGCAAGTGAAGACAGCCCGAGCCGGGGATGCTTTGGAGAGCGGCTGCAGGCTCCGTCACCCACAGCAGCTCCATCGCGCCGGCGCCTCCGGGTCTCTAATCCCAGTGGGCACGTGTACAGCACTCCAAGTGTTTACAGTCTGCAAGTTTAGAGAGCAGTGCCTGGCTCTCTGTGCTGTGCATGAGACGCTCCATCAGCCCTTCCTCCCCTGCCTAACCCTGCGTTTCCCGCGATGGCTCTGTCTCCTCGCATGATGACAAGCCTCGCTTCTCACTCCTCACGTGCCAGTAAGGTCACGTTGCTGAGAGTTCACTGCTGCTTGTGCAATGAACAACGTGAATCCTGGGATGTAAGAGGAGCAATCCCCCAGCAGCTGCTTCCCCACCGCAGAGCTCCCATTCCATGAGAAGGCTGGTGTCCCGGGGGCAGCAGCCTGGGGTGAGGGCACATGTCCCGCAGTGAAGGAAGCACACAGGGAGATATTCAAAGCTGCACTTTGCTCCATTCCTGTTATCAGGGAGATCAAAGAAACCCCCGTGCAGGTGGGAGTTAAACAAAACTCACAGCGCCTGACTGTATACTGCACATATCCTGATATCCCACTGGCACCAACACCTGCAGCACTGCTAATCAAGTGAGGTGAGATGGGGTGACTTCATGTCTGCATCATGCTGAAAGACACCACAACTGGACTGAAGGCATCCTCCCCCCGAATGTCAACAAAAGATTCCCCCTATTTTTCTCCCTTTCTAAAGAATCTCAGAGACACAGACTGGTTTGGGTGGAAGGGACCTTAAAGCTCATCCGGTTCCAACTGCAATGCCCAGAAGCAGCTCAGAGCAATGAGGGGCTGGTGGGAGGGTGTC